TCCAGGGAAGGGTAACTTAAGCCTCTCGAAGAAATCGACCACACCCCTAGCCACAAAACATTTTTTATTTACAAAATATATATACTGAATACTATACATTAGGCCCTGTCACCATGGAAACCAATCCAAAGCCGAGTCGGGGAGGGCTCAGAAAACGGTCTCCAACCACCCTTCCACCCCAGAAGGAAAAACTTGTATTAGCCCCTTGGGAGTGGGTGGTAGGCTCGGCCCACAAAGGCCTGAAGGCCGGAAGGGGGGCGGGGAGGGTTGGTTGTGAGGTGCTACTGGGTATGGATGGGAGGAGAGGAGACCCGGTACCCAGCAGGGGGAGCTGGGTGAGTGCAAATGGGAAGGCAAGCAGCAGGCTGCAGGCCCTGGGCACTCCCAAGACCCCATGGTTCTGGAGATCAGGGCAAGGGGGTCAGGTTAGGTCTTGACGTCCAGCAAGGGCATCCGCTTGTGCTGGAAGCCACTCTGCCAGCCGTGTACCACCTGTGAGGGAAGAGATCATGCCACCAGGCTGGGTTCCAGGGCAGAGGCCACGACACAGCCTCCGGGCGCCCCACACTGGTGGCGGCCCCAAATGGGGAGGGCCGAGGGCAGAAGCAGTTTCTTGTTTCAGGGGGAGTATGGGTGAGAACACAGACCTCTGCTGATTGTCCCTGCCCCCGGAGTGCTCACCTTGGGGTCTCCCACATCAGACAGTAGCTCCTGCTCAGCCTCATGTAGCTCCTCAGCAGGGTCGTAGCTGTACATGGGGAGCAGGTGATGGCGAAGCCGGTCCACTCTGGGGAGCAGGGGAGGGGGCTCAGCCCAGGGGGGTGCCCACTCCCTTCAAACACCTGACTGTCCAAGGCAGGGGCACTTGCAGTGGGTGCCTTTAGGGGCACACAAAGGTTCTAAGCATCCATGCCCGAATCTACAAGGGGCCCCTCTCCGGTGGGTAAGCCGCACGTGGGCAGGAAAACCTAACAATGGGGTGTAGGGAATTTCGGGCTTGTATAAGGATGGCTGAGGGGCCTCTCAACGCGTAGGCAGAGGAACCCAGATCCCAAGGGAAGAAACTGAAGCAGAATGCAGGAGAGGTAACAGGGCAGGGACACTCACCGCTTTTTCTTCTGGACATACATTACCTGTAACAGAGACACAGCACTGTGGAGGCTGCTGAGCGAGCCCAGGATGGCCCACAAGCGAGAGGGACCCACCTCTACCCCCTCCACTCCCAAAACAGCAGGACAGCTGAGACGATGTGTGCAGGCTGGCTCAGGCCCACCCAGCCCTGCCTTAGCAAAGGTGTGGGTGTATATGTGTGGATGTGGGGGCTCCTTACCACAGCCACCACCACCCCGACCAGGGTGATGAGGAAGAAAGGCCCCAACACATAGCCCACCATGGAGTCGCTGTTGGCCTGAGGGACATTGGGCACTGTAGTGTTACTCATGACATCGGCAGCCGGAGGGCTGGGTAGTCAGCATGGGCAGTAGTGCCTCGGGAGGGCGCCTCCACTGGGCTCCCTGGGGAGGAGGAAGGGAGGTTATCAATTTCAAGCTCTGGATCCCTCCCCAAGAGCAGTGATGTATCACAACTTAGGTCAGGCACCAGGACAAGGGATCCTCTAGGTCAGGGTGCTGGGTTTAACCCTCCAGTGACTCTCAGCAAATCCTGGGTTTGGAGGGCATCCAGGGGAGGCCCAGAGTCCCGCTCGGCTCCTACCCCCAAATCAGGGTGTGGCCCAGCTCAGGTGGTGACCAACGTTTGCACATCTCAACTGGGAAAAGCTTAGACACAGGTTCCCAGGTCCTGCTCCAACCTCCTGGGACGCTGGGCTGCCAGCACCTATCCAGTGGAGCACAAAGGGGAGATTTGGTCCTGCACTGTGGCCTAGGGGGTGAGGGAGGAGCATCTGAAGGAGACTACCTCCGTCCTGGTCCAGTCACCACATTTTAGACTATGGGCTCTCCCTGTGCCCTCCCTGTCCCCGGTGTGACTGCAGACATACAGCCTGGATAGCCTCTCCCCCATTGGTCTCATGTGCCAGGGTGGACACAAGTGGGCAGGGCTGGACTGTATCTGTGAGGTGATGTCACCTCCCTCTGGTCCCCACCCGGGGCTCCGCCCAGGTCCCTCCCCTCTTAGCGAGGGCTGACAGGCGGGAAGTGACAGGGTCAGCTCCCATCAACAGATGCAAGGAAATTGTCCATAGGCTCTTGCACGCAGACCCCAACGTCCCTGACCCCGCTTCGCCTGGGTCTCCATCGGAGGGCAAGGTACGAACTACCCGTCCCGGTGTCCGTCGGGGCACCGAGCTTGCCCAGTCGCATGCACACCGTCCCACGGTCGAGGGGACGTGCCGAGGTGGGGCGAGTGTCAGGCCGCTCCGAGGATGCGGACCAGCATCGGCGAGTGGGAGGTAGTTCCCACTGCGCTGGGCGGCTCAGGCCGGGGGAGGGAGGGAGGTTTGGGGAGCGGTGCGCAGAGGGGCCCAGGAATCCTAGAATCCCGGCACCCCGAGGCGTGGACCCGTCCGGGCGCTCTGCAGCCCATCCAACCCGTTCATGCCTTACCTCCCGCCGCTGTAGCCCGGACAGGAACGCCCTCGGTTGGCTCCCAGGCCCCGGAAGAGCAGGCAGGCGCGTGATCAAAGGACCCGGGGAAATGGGCGGGGCTTCAGTACAGGGGCGCAGCCAATCCAGTGGCCGAAGGCGGACGGCCCGGAGACGGCTGGAGCGGCCAATCCGGAGGCGGGGGGTGCGCGGTGCGAAGGCGGGGACGGCCCGGGTTGCAGGGTCCAGCCCGCGGCAGCAGAGGGCAGCCAAGCGCTGCGCAGAAGGGGGAGGAGAGTGCGCGGGGAGGGGAGGGACGGGGCGGGGCCGGGGCCGGGGCTACTTCCCGGCGTCCCCTGGGGCGGGACCCCAGCCGAGCGCCCCCGCCGGGGAGCTCAGGTGGCTGCGGAAGGTGTGACGTCCGGCTTGCTCAAGCTTCTGGGTGGAGCTCCGGTGTAGGGCCAAGTCGCGGCGTGGGGCGGCTGGCTGCTCTTCCCTTCATGGCCGGACCCTGCCCCAGGCCCACAAGGTCTCCATTATGTTTATTTAGCCTTCCAACCTTCCTAGTGGCCCCCTAGGCTGTGCTCAGAGGGTAGATAGAGTAGGCAAGCCCGGCTTAGGTCCTGCCCGGCCATGGGACCTGGGCCCACTTACCCACCCACCCTTCTGTGCGCCTCAGTCTTAACGTCTGTAAAACAGGCTGGTGTGCGGATTAACCGATGACATGCGATGCCCTGTTAAAAGCCCCGTTAACCTTTTCGTGGTTTGCAGGGGCACGGGTGGAGCAGCGCGGTGCAGTCCCCCTGGGTCACAAGCAACTCGCGACACCGGTGAATTTGAAAGCTTGCGTGGTCTGTTAGTTACAATGTCACGCACTGGAGAAATGTGAATAAGGTGGATGGATTTTACCGATATCAGTATCCTGGTTGTGATCTTCCACTATAGTTTTGCAAAAGTTAGCATTGGGGGAAGCTAGGCAAAGCGTATAAGGGAGCTCTATTATTTCTTACAACTGCATGTGAATCTACAATTACCTCAGGTAAGGTATGTGTAGTTTTGTACCAGAACTTCCCCCCCCCCCCCCCCCCCCCCCCCC